ATGAAAATAGATCATGTTTGCTCTAATGACATTAGCACTACAGAAGTTTCAACGTTAGTTGACTGAAACTAGAAAAAAACATACTCCTGACAATATTAGTAACAAGTCATTTTGGGCTAGTTCAACATACATATCGTGCCATTTCTTTCATCCACATCTTGCAAGTTCGTGCATTAGTACACTTCATTATGTTAGTCAACTATTTACTCTATGTTAAATATATAGCAAATTCATATTTATCATTAAAAATTAATGTTCTGATTCTTCGAGCAATTACATGTCTTCAGAAGAGCATCTCCATCTTAAAAGTTGAAATATCTTTGTAGATACTGGTGTAATTGAAAATTGTGTTATAGAAGGTGAATACGTAATAATGCACATGAAGTGTTCTCCTTGGGATAAGGACACACTCATTCAGAAAGGGATGTAATTGTTTCCACATCTTATTTCATTCCTTGTTTTAAGGATACGGGCATATGATTAACATACGCTATTATTGTTCTGTCTACAAAATGAGGCCGTTATTTAATGCCAATGGAGAGAGGCAAGATTTTGTTTACCTATGGAAACACACACATTTTTGCAACCTTAATAAATTGCAACATATTCTGGGCTTTTCAAAACAAAGAAAGTACCTCAGAAAAATTAGATAAATATTGTAAGTTTGTATGCTTATTTTAAGCTTAAAATTACAACGACAACTACATTCTTTCTTCCATCAGATATGAAAAAGAAAAGAACCAAAATATTAGCAGGAACAAAATTACCAGTTTAAAAAAAACAGATAAAACATTTCAACCAGAGCTTTGTTTTAGAAATTCACAAAACAGTTAGAGGAAGCATCTTAGTTTTAGCAAAATTCCGTTTTTAATTAAAAACTGCAAGGTTTTATACATCTTTTTTAAGACAGACTTCACAAAAAAAATTTTTAGTTTAAATGCACACACACATTCAGAATTAAAAAATTTGACATTTGTCCATGTTATTGCACTTGTTGAATACTAGTCCTTGTTAAAACATTTTAATTTTCTATTTACTTAGGGCCTGCTTACCTTAAAATTTTTTAGTGCTTCATCTAAGCTACCATGATGATAAAGCATCATTCCTTTGAGCTGTAATGTCTGAACATGATTTTGATTTAGGAGCAAAGCCTTCTGGAAGCTCTCTGTAGCAGCATCGAAGTTGCCAAGTTCTCTAGGTGATTCCATAAAGCGGAAAGTGAAGAATATAGAAGGCAACAGTGACAATGAAATTACTTGTTAAAAGTTGTTTTAATGCATCCAAAGGGGATATCATTAAAAAGGAACACAGTACTAACGGAAAAAGCAGTAATTCTGCAACTGTTCTTCAGTGGTAATAACAAAACAGCCACACGGAGTTTTTTACTCCCAGAAATGCATACTCTGACATACAACCCCACAAGACCACAAATCTTCACAATCTTCAGTGGACATAAACCATAAAAACACATACCTATGGTATTTCTTCAGAAACAAAAAGAAACAAAACTTCCACAGAAAGCATTCTTGGAAAACACTATCTATGACAGGTCTTTTTAACTTCTAAATATAAACATGTTTTTAAAAACACACTAAGTACTGAGTAAGAACAAAGCATATGGTGTTTGAAAGCTGAACCTAATTAAAAACGTATTGACTGGAATTACTCCACGTGCAGGACAGCTTTTAGTAAAAATAGCCACAGAGAAACTACCATGAAAAAAATAAAACAGAAATATTACACAACTTTATTTTTCTTCAGTTTTTTTATCCAGTACACAGACATTTTAAGTTTAAGATAATGAAATTCTTTCCACATCAAATTACATTAGATTAAATTAATCTAAACAAGAGTAACACTAGAAAAAAGAAACAAGATTTACTAGTTTTAAATACCTTTGCCAAAAAGAATTTTTAGACAGAACAGTGATTAATCACAGCTCTTTAATTTCAGATAAATGCACAAACACTGAGATCACTAGATTCAATGCAAGAATTAACAGGTAAAATGCTGTAACTCATGTTGTGCAAGTCAGACTCCGAATTGTCTAATTGCACAATAAAAATAATTCTTTAAAAGGTATTTTCTAGCTTTGTATGTGAAACATTTAATGCAGAAGAAAGCAAGCGTGAACTTAAAATACAAGATCTTAGAAAGAAAGAAAAATTTGACAGCTGAAGTTAACAGTGCCCTGGAGAAATGAAGTTATTATTTCTGCCTGTTTTAAGATCTGAGTGTTCATGGGAAAGTAATTCAGACTTTTCATAGTTGGTCACTAGTTACAGTTGGTTACTAGATACAGTTTAATAGTTGTTAAACAATGCTCAATTCAGCTTCTGGCCTTCTCTAACCGTTGAGCAGTTAGAAGAGTCAACAATAGTTGTGCTTTGTATCTTAAGTTTAAAAAAAAAATTTTAAAAAAGGAAGAGGTAGATTTCTTTACATTCCTCCTTCTATTATTTCCTGAGGATCAGAGAGCTTTTGAAGGCAGGGGACAGAGAGAGGGAAGCACACAAGAACCACAGACAAACTCATGATGAAATTAGTGAGTCTACCCTGAGTTCAGAATTTAGATACTATGGTAAATAAGGTACAAGTCCATAAAGCAAAGAATAACAACAACAACAAATTTAATTGACATTGCCTTCAGTGAATATTGCATGTTCTGTATGCTGAAGGAAGCATAAAGCCTGAAGAAAAAGAGGACATGATCATGTAATGCTTGCACACCAACCTTACCCAACTTAACCCTTGCTACACAAAAGCCATTTGTGTTGCAGCAGCATTTATCAGTCCTTTCCAAAAAATAAAAATGTAAAACAGGAAATAAACAGCTGACAAGACACAGCTGGTTGGGAAAAGAACTACAATGGGCAGAGATATTCAGTTGTTGACTGTTATGTTCTTGTCTTGTTATATGCGAGCTGCATGTACTTTTTTCCTTAGTAATTATCTGCAGACCACCTTGAAAGTAATACATTTTATTCAACTATAATTATTTTATCCTTAATGCAAATTAAAAAAAGAAAAGAGTGACCAGTTACATTACTAAATAGAGATTGCTATTTTTAAAATTATTTGATTAATGGGTAAGAACCTACATGTCTATATTAAAAATACCCTTAACAGGAAATTAGCTAAATTCTCAGAACTGGAAATCTTTTTGGTGAGAGATTAATTGATAGAGGATCTAGCAGTTCTATAAAATGACACGCACTATGCAATGAGTTTTTTCATAAATTTAAGTAGCACAGTAATCTCAGATGACAATTAATGAGCATATTAATCAAAAGTTCATATTAAACATTTCCATCATTTAAAAATCATTTAGCATACCTAAAACACATCTTACTGAAAACTGCCATTTACCTAACCTTTGAGTGTTGAAGATACAAAGAGCTACTGGAGACTGAATTAAATAATTTCTAGGTTTGCTTTGTATTTTTATATTGAACATACCCTGACATAGCCATACTGGTTGTAGGAGCTACCAAATACACGTATGATTCTACACGGTTTTGTAACAAATGTGTAAAACTTAAAGGATACGTTTTAAAGAACACACTCAGAAAGAAAACAAAATTTAAAATTATTTCTGAATGCAATTACCTGTAGGCTTGCCCCAGACTTTTATATGCATCTATGAAGTCTGCTTTCTGCTTCAGAGCTTCTTTGAACGATTCAATGGCTTCCTACAAAAGACACCAACAGAAAAATGTGTCACTTACTGGATTCGTTTTAATTTTAGCATCCTCAGTAGTTACTAGCCATGGATTTACAGTCATTTGTCAAAACCTTTGGAAGGAACAAAGAAAGCATGAATTTATTACAAAACCTATAGCGTAATAATCATCATAGAACAAATGAAATATTGCAGCATTTTTTATGGTAATGACAGATTTAGCTGTAATTCCTTTGTCTAATATGCTATGGGAATGAGTGATTCTTTTAGCATTTTAATAGAATTCAGAGATTAAATCCCTTCAGAGCTTGCTTTCAAAGCTCAGTCTGGTCCCTAAGGCAAAGCAGTCTCTCCTTAGAGTCTTCCTTCATTCATAATACACCTCTTAATTTTTGCAGTCCAAAAAGACTCCTTCAAATCTGTACTCTTCCTTTCATTGGTTTATTGTATTCTGTGTTAGTTGCACAGTTAGCAAACACTCTATTGAGGGATTACAGAATAAGTGAACATCTTCACACAACAGCGTGTACTGCTGCTATGAGGAAAACATAATAAAAATAAAACAGCTAAAAATAATTATACACATACATTCAAACCAATCTTCTTCAAAGGATTTGATTAAGAACTCAGACTTTTAAACTGGACTGGCTATATAAATTGGCAAATGCAGTACTGAGACTTTGAATTAAGGATGGGATAATCAACTATTTTATATTATGAAGGAATGCCTGAAGAGTATCTTTAAGTCTGTAGTGCAAGAAATTAAATGCTGTAAGGAAAGAATCATTACTATCTTCAGTCAATTTAGAGATTCTTATTCAGAAAAACTGTCAAATCTATTCTGAGCACTACAACATGCACAAAAATATCTATTGAACAAAAATAAAAGATAATCATCTACCATTACTGATAGGTTCATGTCCTTTAGATAAGTTTTACATCTGAGAAGATTATTCCCAAAAGCAACAATCTCCTTTCACTCAAAGATGAACACTCTCCCACCCTCACCCCAAATCTCAGTTTTCAGCAAGCCTAGTAAAACCTAAAGGTGACTTGTATAGCCTTCCTTTTAAGAGGCAGTCTGAACCTGACTAGAAGCTAAGATATACCTGGGGATGAAAAGACACTCAGTCACAGTCTCTCAGAACTTGAATATTAGAGAGGGAAGGCACTTCCTTTGAGAAAAGAAATTGGGAGGAAGGAAGTGGTACCGCAGAAATGTGTTGATCTGCATATCAGAAAGAAGAAAACATTGCTTCTATTTTGCAAATTGAGACATTGTTTATCCTTGTCAGTTATATTTCCACCATCACTTTCTGGGCTCTCTGCCGCCTACACCAAAAATCAGAAATTCAATCAGACTGTTATTTGCAGTAACTCATTTGTCTACAGTAAGATACAGACAATAAGTTCAATGACAGCCTGAAGTTCTCACAACATACACTGAGAGTGTGGAAAAAAAATACCAGCTTGGGTAGGAAAATGGAGAAGTCGCCTGTTTGCTAAAAAAAGAAAGAAAAAAGAACAAAACATGCAGTGACCCATGAAAGATACTGGGCTGAACTTCAGGAGTCCTGAGTTGTCCCCAGGTTCTGTCAGTTTTTTGCATACAACCCCTAATGAATCCCAAGCTGTTACTAAAGGGTAAAAAAAAAAAAAGCTTCCACTCTCTTGGAATTTCGGGATCACATAGTTGCATCCTCACTTTTCAAACTGAGGATTTCAGACAACGTGCCCAATTACTAGTGTAGTTTTTCTGAGGGGAGAGTATCTCCAAATACTTTTCAAACAAAAAACAGGTGCAATATTACTACACCTAAAACTGAGAAGTTTTGAGTCAGAAAATGGTGAAACATTTAAAAAAAACACAGGAAGAACTTACTTCCCTGCTGCTTTTAGAATCTGAGAGAGCAACTATGTTCCCTCAATTTAGATACAAGCATTTCAGAATCAACATATAACTGAAATACACATGCACAGACGCAAGGCTCTATCGGAAGTTTCCTTGATTACCTTCTAGCTCATTGGAGGAAGATTTTAAAACTATATTCCTCTTCATACCTTTCCCCTTCACAATACCTAGGAAGTCCCCATTTCATGGAAACAAATTTTGAATATAACCATACAGATATTAGCAGAGGTGCCAAATACAAACATCTTTCGAAGTACTGCATAAACATGTCAGTTATCACTGATTTACCAAGATCGAGGAAGACCAGCAGTATTTACATGTCATACCACGAAGTACTACAGTCAGCAATGGCACTTTTTCATTTTTCTTGCACTTTTTTGCTTTAAGAAGTCTTCCTTATGTGAGAGAAAATATGTATCAACACTTAGGATATTTCTACAATTTTACAGAAGTAACTTCAAATAAAAGGTATCATTCTACATGAACTATTATTTAATATAACTTTACCTTCAAAAGTCCTCTGTGAAAAAAGGTTAAGCCTTTATAAAGCATAGCTATAGGCTGATTTTTGTTCAGTTCCAGTGAATGCTGAAAATCTTCGTGGGCTGTTGCGTAATCCTGTGATAAAGTAGAGTTTAGATGACAGAGGAAACACTATACAAAAAAAGAGGAATACATACTTTTATTTTCATAAAAGTAAACTACAGAATTTTGTTTAATATACGAAGTCAGTCTCAGGGCTAAGCAGCAATGATTGTCAACTGCCAGTCAGGATATCAAAGAATAAGGAATTCACAATACACTTCCAACTTTTACAGCAAGTGCTATATAAAACATAGCAAAGTAAGAGGAAAAGTAGCTGGAAACCAACAGAGTGAGATCAGAAGAATAAGTGCAAAATCAGCTGTTTAGTATTCACACAATCTTTGAAGATAAAGTTACTTGTTTTACATTAAAGCATAAGAAAAACACACACAGGTTACACAGCAAAATAGGATGTTAAAATTTTTGTAGCATTGGTTGATTTGGTTTTTGTGCAGGGGCAAGGGGAGGGGTTAAGTATGCCTTGGCCATAACTCTTTTTCTTCTTAGACTGGCATTTAACAATACTCCTTAAATGCAGTGGCAGTTTATAAATCAAGTCAAATTCTTTATCCATATCCTACTCCTCAAACACACAGAACAATCTGAGATGTGCATGTAAGGTACTTGCCCTCTGGTTCTCTGCATTAAATACATATGCAGATTAAATACTTGAAGAACACCTCTGAACTATCAGAAAGTCAACTACAGGAAAAATCAGGGCTTTTGTTGTTATTTTGTTTTTTAATTTAAATAGGAAAGAAGCTCTTGAACTAAAGCAACAACTGACACAAACAACAAAATAAAATCAACAGCATCCACATAATCAAAACCAAACAGAATCCCCAAAATCTACTAACCTCCGATATGAAGTAAAGGGTACCTCTGTGCCTAAAGAGCCGTGCTGATGGTTGTAGCTGAATAGCTTTGGTGAGATCAGATAATGCTTCGCTGATTCGTCCTAGTGGGGACAATATCTAAGAGTATAAAACAAAAACATAGTTTAGAGCAAACAGGCTGAATAGATTTGTTTTGGAAATATGATGATTATTCTTTTTCAGTTTTAGCTGTAACAGAGTAACTGTATTTGCTAGAACAGGTTGGAAAGTTCTACTATAAGTTTCAATATTTATTGCTTTTAAACCCCTATCAAAGGGAAAATCTGAAAGCATCTTTCTCAAAAAAAACCCCAAATCAAAACAAAAATCATCAGTGCACATGAACTTCACCAAAAACACCTGCAGAAACCTAGTATTCCAAATAAAAACAAGTCAGTCAAAGCAAAATACTCTATTTCAAGTTATTTCATCACATTCAACTGAAAATATAATTAAAGTAGTCTCATAAACAGCTTTATTTTGACAAAATATTCCCCCCAATGGAAAACAGTCTACTTTCCAGTTATTTGAATGTCTTTCACATTTTTTTGATCAAGGTTATTAACAAATGTATTAACAAATCATTAAAAAAAAAAGAAAATTGTGAATTACAATTTCATATTATGACAGTTGTTATACAGTATACTGACTTTAATAAATATTTATCCTTTTGATTTGTCTACAAAGCTGCTTCTTGAAATCCATTTTCTGTAATTTAATTGGCAAAACAAAACATGATTTTCAAAATGAAAAATATCTGTGTATCTGAATGATATTTAACTTATACGCATGAATATAAAACCAAAACTTTTGATTAAAATCTAATCCTTTAAAAGTTTGGCATTTTACCAACTAGTGCTAACAAATTTACTAAGGTGATACTAAGTGCAAACAGTAAGGTTCAAGTGATATTTTGATGCATTATATTAAAAAAAAAAAAACCCACACATGATCTTGCTATACAAACTAAACACTTAGACATAATATATACTGTTCTATTGGCTATAGTAACTCCATATGGTGTATGTTTCATTTTCAAAATAAACATTCCACAAATTACAGTTTGAGAGCAAATACGTGTATTTTAAAAGAAAGGAGGAACATTCACAGAAAAACACAGATAAGAGCTTTAGTCATTAAATCAGTGAAGAAATACGTGAAAATACTGTATAATTGCAACTTCTACAACAATCTGAAGAGAAAAAATGCTTACTTCTGCTCGCTGTTCAAAAACTTCAGGATGATCTGGTTCTAGACTAATCACCCTACTGAGCTCAAACAGAGCAAGTTCAGCATTTTTCATATCCTGAAAAGGAGAAAAATAAACAAGGTAAACAACTGTGCATACTTAAAGTAATATACTCTGAAGACTGAAGGACAACTAGACTGCTCAAATTTCTGAAAGTGCATCAGTTTACATTAAAAGCCCTTCACACCTTTGCTAGTAACATTAAGATGCAGTGTTCTACAAAGAGCTGAAAAAAAGTCCACCTATCTGCTATAAACAAGAAAAACTTTGCTTGTACACATCATCTTTGTGCTGTACCTCTAATAATTTATTAACATAACTGTGAAAAAACATTAGGTTTACAGCTCCATAGATACCTTTCTTGGCAGCAAAGCTAGCTCAAGCTATTATGTGAACTCCAACACATATGCATACTTTCACACACCAGTACTTTCATCAGTACTGCCTGTAACTTAATCCAAGCAGTACTGGTGAATGGGTTGATAACATCAGCGTCTTGCCTATCTAAATTTTTATATTGTCCTCAAACTGTAGGATGGAAGCACTTACTTAATTGAAAAAAAAAAAATCCGAACTGGTTAGATAGCAAGTTCTGTATTAGATTTCACTGATCTTTTTCTTCTTTTTCAAAGCAAAGAAATTTTGCATGTGCTTAACATCATCTTTGTGTCTTGAAAGTATTGTTCACAGAAACTTTTATGAAGTGGAGCTGTCTCAACATCCTAGCTGAACTGAGAAAACAAACTCATGCTGGTGTTAAAAACATGCAAATATGAGGGACCTTGTGGTGGGTTGACCTTGGCTAGATGTCAGGTGCCCACCAAAGCTGCTCTATCACTCCCCCTCCTCAGCTGGACAGGGGAGAGAAAATATAATGAGAAGCTTGTGGGTCGAGATAAGGACAGGGAGAGATCAGTCAGCAATTGCCATCATGGGCAAAACAGACTCAACTTGGGGAAATTAGTTCAATTTACTGTCAATCAAAATCAGAGCAGGATAATGAGAACTAAAACCAAATCTTAACACACCTTCCCCACACCCCTCCCTTCTTCCCAGGCTCAACTTTGCCCCTGATTTCTCTACCACCTCTCCACCAAGCAGCGGAGGGGGAGGGGAATGGAGGGTGCAATCAGTTCATCACACACTGTCTCTGCCACTCCTTCCTCCTCAGGGGGAAGACTCCTCACACTCTTCCCCTGCTCCAGTGTGGGGTCCCTCCCACAGGAGACAGTCCTCCACCAACTTCTCCAACCTGGGTCCTTCCCACAGGCTGCAGTTCTTCACAAACTGCTCCAGCCTGGGTGCCATCCATGTGGTGCCATCCTTCAGGAACAGACTGCTCCAGTGTGGGTCCTCCACGGCGTCACAAGTCCTCCCAGCCAACCTGCTCCAGCCTGGGCTCCTGTCTCCATGGGGCCACAGGTCCTGCCAGGAGCCTGCTCCAGCACAGGCTTCCCATGGGATCACAGCCTCCTTCGGGCATCCACTTGCCCTGGCATGGCATCCTCGACAGGCTGCAGGTGGATACCTGCTCCAGCATGGAACTCCATGGGCTGCAGGGGGACAGCCTGCCTCACCATGACCTGCTCTGCTCTGGTACCTGGAGCACATCCTCCCCCTCCTTCTTCACCGACCTTGGTGTCTGCAGAGCTGTTTTCAGATATTTTCACTCCACTCTCTGGCTGCAAATGCAGCCTGCTGTTTCCCCCCTCACCCTTCTTAAATATGTTATCCCAGAGGCGTTGCCACCATCACTGATGTGCTCAGCCTTGGCCAGCGGCAGGGTCAGCCTTGCCCAGCGGCAGGTCCATCTTGTAGCCAGCTAGCACTGGCTCTATTGGACACAGAGGCAGCTTCTAGCAACTTCTCGCAGAAGCCATTCCTGCAACCTCCACCGCTACCAAAACCTTGCCATGCAAACCCAATACAGACCTCAAGCACTCATCAGCGCCACTAAAGAATTAAATATTCTGCAAAAGGGAAATTTTCAAGGAATTATTCAACTACTATTTCTTCTAGAATTCCAGCAACCTTTCATTCACGATTCAATAGGCCACAAACTCAAACTACAAGGACTATAGTCTACTTTCAAACTTATTTTTGCTCACGAAATTGAGCAGTCAGCTGTAACTAAGTAATTTAATTTTGAATTTTTTTGAACAAATTCAAGGCAGTATATGTATCAAGAGGCATAGGCAATCAAGAAGCAACACAAAGCCCTGCTGGATTGCAAGAGTTGATGATGTTTCAAAGTTGCAAAAAAAGACTTTTTTGTTTCCGAATACAAACTAGATGTGGAGACAAATTCAGTGGGACTTCATAAACCTGCCTCTCAGAGGCAAGATACTGCCTGTTATCTTTTCAGATAACTCTTTCAAGTGGCTGTAGCTGCCAGCCATACTATCCAAAACTCTCAACTGTGCCTATGTTCTCCTTTGGCACCCTTGCTTCACGCTGCTTTATTTCCACAGTCCCACAAAGCAAATGTGCCCATGGCTTGAGCAGTATGATCCACTAGATCCCTCTATGTTATGGAGCACCTACCAAGGGATGGACACATCATTAAAGTAGGACAGCACAAAGACTTTGCAATGTACCTATCAAGTTCTAGTCAGTCTAGCTCCTTCCTGTTATAGGCCTTCTTATAGTTTGGATTCAAATAATTCAGTCAGCTATTAATTTAAATAATTATCTACTCACATGTAGTCCTTTTTTTCCATATGCTATCCCTCGTCCATAAATTGCACTAACCAACTCTGGTTCTTCCTGTTAAGATTAAAAATGAATACAATAATCAGTTGTGGTTTTGTGTTTCTTTCAAAAAAGGTATCTTTCTTCAATATGTATTTAATTCTTGCTGTTCTTAAGTAGTAAGCAATGAACAACCACAGCTGGCAGGCAAAGAAATTGATTGTATTACAGTCAATACTTTCATATGCTCACAACTTCCAATTCAATTCACGGGAATTGTTCTGGAGTATTTGTCTGGAAAGTGAGCTAAACAGAGTGCAGTTATAGCATCGGTGACCACCTATCAGAAGCTACGTATACATTAGTATAGTCTGTTGTCCACACTTCATTACTTGTAACTTTATTGGTAATTATATGACTTCTTTTGTCTAATGTCACTGAAGTGATAATAAATACAATTCAGCCATTCAAAGCTAGTTTTGTTCATAATTTAAACTTAAGATTTAAAATGAGAAAGCAGAATATTATGAAATCCTGATGAAATTTATATCCAGGCAGCAACTAAAACTAGAGGTATTCTCCCAAAACAGTTCTGCAGCATTCAAACAAACCTTTCTGGGATTAAATTTAAGTCCCTGGCTTCCCAACTCAGGCACTTAAGGGGATGCATCTTACATAGTGAATCGACTTCTTCTTCAGTGTTATTTACTCCAGCCATGGTTTACCACCAAAATTTGAAGAACTACAACAGCAAAACTGGTTTTCTTGGCACAATAATGCCTATGCAGTCAGTTTCCCTGAAAAACAGCTGGGAATCACACCATCTTCACACCTGCAACCAACACAGCTGTGCTACAAAAGTTTGTAGCACAGACCTGGTCTCATTTAACTGGGACAACTGCCAAATGCTGTCATTGAAAAAACAACAGATATGTGGCATACAAATGCTGGCAGCTTGCATTGAGCTGATTCCAAGTGTACATTTGGCAACATCAACTTCAGGTAACTTCCCTACTTTTAATACAGTGGCTAAGCAAGGCTGCTTTGTTCTGTTACATGTTTTAATACTCACTTTATATGTATTTAAAATTGCCTTATGGAAAACAGAGTGAACAATCATAACCACTTTACAGTCTTTCAGGCATACAATAAGCATGATATTAATTTCAACCAAGATGTGTGCATTGCAGAGTAACTCTATTATATACACACTTCTCATAATCTCTTTCTACAGTCACTGTATCTTGCTTATTTTCACTTACATTAAGTTTCCTTCTTAATAAAGAGAAGTCAGGAAACATTATGCAAGTCCAGTGGTTTCTGAAACAGGATTTCTCATTAGGGTAAAAAAAAAAAAAAAAAAATCATTCCTCATGTTAAATACAAATCAAAGAGAGAGATCTCCAAACATCTAAAAAATGCATACAAACAAACAAAAAAAACCCAGCAAAAACCCAGGGTCTCCTAGTAAATTCCCTGGAATAATTCCATTGAATTGCCACACTGTCTCCCAAATTAAGTATGAGCCATAGGACGTCTGAGTTAAAAAAAAAATACATTATAGTACTTGCAGTATAATTTTCAGGTTACATTTGTGCACTGCAACCAGTTTAGACCAAAAAGCAGGTCCATGCTTCTGGTAGATGCAGGTTCTTAGCCATAAGAATACAGACTTTTAGCTTTAGTTGAAGCTTTGAAACTGTTGAGGTTGGTTTTGTTTTAAAAGTGGCTGGCTACCTTCTACTTCATAGAAGATTCTGAATGCTTTACCTTGGTCAGAAAAAAAAAAAATATCTTGAAGCATTAGTTACATTTTAGTTACTTATTAAACTTAAATACTTACCACTGAAGAAGGATAAACTCAGCATACAAAATCATTTAACATTGTGAAAGCAATGCGGTACTTGCCACTAGCAATAGCTGATCGCTGTCAGGTTTTTTTCTGATGTTACTTGCAACATGCTAACTGCTGCCCCAAAAAAATCCACATTAAAATATCTAAGCCTACACATGAAGAGGGCAATTAAAGGAACTTCAATTTTTCACAGGTCAGGTTTATGAAGATGCTTTTTTTTTTGTCAAAGTGCCACAAAAAGTTTATTCCTATAGATGACAAAAATACTCACCAAATAACCAAGATACTGAATCACCTGATTTTAAGAGTATGCTTATGTTTGGATGGAAAAAAATGAACAAATAATAGAATAATTACTTTCATACAATAATTACACTTATTTTAAAATCCTTAACCGAATCCTTGTTTTAGTAAAAGTCATATGTTGTAATGGATAATTTCATAAAGTGATTTTTTAGGGGTCTAAACAGAAAACTTACCTGCAGCATTGTTGAAAAATGTCGTATGGCTTCATCATACAAGCCGTTGCCAATCAACACGTAAGCAATTGCTAACAAAAAATTACAAATGTAAATAAAACAGAAAAAAAGTTGGGGTTTTTAAAATATATTTAATACAACCAAATTGTAAAATGTAAGTTCCTATATTGCACTGAAGATTTAAGTAAGTCAAATGATTTCTGAACTGCCACTTACATTACTTCCCTCAATCATTACCTAGCATTCATTAATTATTCAGTTCATACTGTGCTCATCAAAATTGGTTTTGGATTTTGTTTGTGTTTTTTTACTCTCCTTTTTGCAAGCTGTTAAGGAAAGGGTCCATGTTTGCTTCTAAAGTACTTAAGACCAGGAAAGGTACCATGATCCCATTTAGTAGCTCTAGATGCTTTCTCAATTATAAGTGAGCCTGGCTAACTTCTTTTGATAATTCCATTACAGAACATCTGATTGTACTTGTTTGTACACATTTTGCTGAACTTCACTAGCTCATAATTAGTTTTTCCTTCATCTGAATTATCTAGAAAAACTACAACTAAAGTCATTCCATTGTTTATAAAAATGAAACTGAAAAACTACAGAAACTTTACCCATGTTAAAATTATGAAAAGCTTTAAAGTTCTTGGATATCCTCCCCACTTTGGAGTAGAAGCCAAGCATTTGAAGAAGAAACAGACCACTGTTTTAGAAACATCTTCCTGAACCTCCACAAGATATAAAAATACAGTCAAGTCACAAGACTGGAAAGCTGTGGTTGTGCTTGCATGACTGAAGTTCAGTTCTGCCAGCTAAATATGTCACGATTGTTTCACTTTGCATGTTTTAATCTCTCACTGTTCTTAACTCTGGACTCAGCTCTGTCTACACTGGCCACAAAAAATAAGTTGCACACTAGAGCAACGAAAGGTAAAGTACAACTTTTCCCCATGCAGTTTGCACGAACTGCTGACAGCAGAACTAAGAGTGGGGATCTACCTTTCCCCACACTTCTAATGAGTTTTAGCAGCCATCCAAACCGAATGGAAGAGGCACCTATTGGCTTAATTATTTACTTAAGCATGAGAAGATACAAATAAGCCAGTTAGAACAAAGGTATTTTTAATAGGACACAGACACTTAATCTTTCATACAGGCAGAGACACATTGTTTTGGCAGTGTCACTAAGCACTGTCCATTAAAGGAGGAAAAATGTTAAATGACAGAGAAATAGGAAATTTATTTAGCCCAGAGCTTGCCTCATTCTTGGAGCACTTCTATTATGCAAAAAGAAGCATTTGTGTGCAATATAGGCTTTTTTCTAAATACATAAAAAGCTTCACTTGGTACAGATACACAGCATTGCCAAAAATGGAAAGAAAATTGGAAGAATGAAGGACAGGTTCAAGAGCCCTTGAATTTTCCTCCTTTCTTTCTCCTCCAAGACTACACAGTTCTTAGTATCATCTTTACGGTTCCAGTCCCAGAACAGAAAGCAGTTGGCACAAAGTCAACTCAACCATGCCAGTATTAAGGAAAAAAGCAGAGGAAGCAAGACAAAGACGACTCATTGTCTTGCTGATGAGTTTGTTTATCCAAGACTCTTGGCAAAGTGCAGGACATTGTAGACTATGTCTGAAAACTATGGCAAGTGATTGGCAACTGATACAGCATCAGCTTCTTTTTAATTTTTATCTCTTTGATTAATCTTTTTATCTTTAATTAAATACTACAAAAATACAAGTACATACTTTATTATGAAAAATCTAGGGGCTAACTGGTATTTGGGTACCAACACTGCTTCAGAAAGCCCCATACATTTCACACTGCTTTTCCTCAAAACAGTTAAAAGTAAAATGCACAAACAAGAAGGACCCAGGCTCACACCATGACATACTTGAAATACAGTGGGTAGGTAGGTGCCAGCCTACAAGCCAAACATGAGGACAGCGACCTTCTGGCATAGTCTTCTGAGTCTACAGAGCAGATACTAAAAGCATCAAATATTTTCTGCTGGATGGACGTTCAGTATTCCCTGCAGGATTGTATGAACATAATTAAGTATGCTAGGAATATGAAAAAAGATTAAGCCTCTAAATTTTCCTGGATAAACCTGTGAAGGTTTTTAATTATGTCAGAAAAAACCTACTCAAATTGTACTCAATTTCATTAGACAACTTACGAGTAAAGCCTCCCTTTGCTCTTATACAAAAGACAGTCTGCTGCCTTCCTTGACATACATCCTCAACAATCTCTGCTGTCTCATAATACTTCTGCTTCCTATAGAGTATATCAGCTTGGAGAAGCAGTGCAAGTAGCTCCTTCCTCAGGTCCTTTTGAGAAAAGTATTTCCTGTTGCTTTATTTGAAATGCCTGCATTTTCTGTGCTGAGTGTGCTTTGAAAAAAAATCAAGTAGCAGTCTGTATAAGGACATAATTCAGAAAGCTTTCAGGCCACCTAGAAGCATTGATGGGAAGAATGTGTGGAGAGGGGAAGGCAGACCCAAAAATCTATGCTTGATAGAAAGCATATTCCACTGGTACAATTTTCTGGATGTTTGAATAGTTTTATTCCTCAATAATGACAGAAAAAGGGAAGCAGAAAGTAGCTGAGACTGTTTAAGAGGATTTAATCAAAATGCTTTCTGAACACCTGCTTAAGCAAACATGGTGAAGAATTCTAGTGAGCAAAGCAGAAAGGATTTTTAGGAAGAGAGATACATACTTTCTTTGTGTGACCAGAGAAAACTCACTGTATTTTCAGGCTTATTAGGATCACTTTAAAATTAATGTATCCCTAAGGAATCATCACTTCAGTTTCAAAACATTCAGTGCTAATAATTAGCACATAATTCACCTGCACAAACCTTATATAAGGCATCTTACCCAATTCTTCATTTGTGTTGTCATTATCAGTAGCAAATGGAAATCGTTTTTGCTCTGCAAGCAACTTCGCTTGACTCTGTAAAACATCATGTTTTTTAAGTGTTCAGCAAACAACAGTAAAGAATTTAATAGAAAACCCATGTCTTAAATGCTTAAGAGAATGCCGTAGATCAAAGAGTTAAGATTAATGTAATTGCTTCAAAGTAACTGAAAACAAATTCATTCTTAGTCTTCCACAGGGAGAAAAATCGCTCTTCAATCACATGCTGCTGTTACCCTCTCTAACGTAACACTAACCAAGCCTTTCAGATGAAAGGACATCATCAGCATTTTATGAGTGGCTGATGTTTCTATATTACATCTACTTAACATGAAGTTTGGGAAGTCTAAGACACATGCTACTTCATAGAAACGTTTATACTCTATACCCCATTAATTATTCCTTTGTCTCCTACAAAGGGAAGGGTACTGAAGAAAACACTGAAAAGAATGTCACTCCAGTAATAAAGACAAGTTTAACTTAACAGTGCCATACTAAAGAAAAAAGGCTGTACTTCTAACAATAACTTTCCACCAGTTACAGACTTGGTTCATCCAACTGTAGCCTCGTCTAAGATTTCTGTTCCCCAAATAATGCACCTACAGAATCCAATACTGCCAGACAGCCCCTCAGAAATATAGAAAAACTCTGCTCTGTTCATTTTCACAAATATTTCCCATAGACAACTGTAAACCTACCAGAGCAGTTGATGTTAGAAAAATACAAAATGCTCATTTAATTAATAGGTCTTACAAAGCATTTTAGGAAGCAAGAAGGGAAAAAAAACAGAGAGTTCTCTCACTGCTCAGTTCTCTTCTTTTGCTTCAGCTAAACAGCACATGTATACATTTTTAACTTCAGAGAAGACAGTTAAACTTCAGACAACATATTTAACTCATCATTGCCTCTACTGAGAGACTGCTCTTTGTCCTCCTCCTTTCCATTTTTTTTGGCTTGCTCAATCAAAAGTTACCTCATAACTTGTGTCCATGACAGACATTCCAATGACCTACAAAGTGCAAAAGTAACCAACCAAATCCCTTTGTACAGTTTCTGCCCAGTTCATCTAATAATATTAGGAATGAGAAGAAAGTTTGGTGTTCTCTAAAAACTTGAGTATTTTGGAGTGTATGAATGATTAGCAAATCAGATTTTACAAACCTTGTTTTCAACTAAATTAGAGATCATGTATGAGCTCCACATTACACTATAACGTTCTGAGAATTATTACTCCACCTACTGCTGCACCTACAGTAACAGAATGGAAAAGTTCTTTTCTCATAGAAAAAAGCCATTAAAAAACAGCACAAGAATGAGCAGGGTTCAACAGGTATACCAATTAGAAAACTAAATCTACATTGCAGACCATACGTATTTACAAATAACACACCTACAAAAACAACCTTTTTGTATCATCCAGGGCCTTCGGGTAATTTCCAGAAAACCTACTTCAAAAAACAATCTTCAATATTTAACTCTGCAAGATGTTAATCTTCTATAATTGTCTTATAGCTAACCTTGGTGGGGGGGAAATCACTTTTACTAAAGCACAACCTCTTCCTTGGTGGACTTACAAAAAAGGCCTACACTTCTTTGTATGCAGACAAAAGATAAGATATAGCAAGATTCCAAGCAGGCTATTGGAAAATAAGCTACAAACAAAAGAATGTGGCATTACATTAATATCCTATGACTTACAGAATTGCAAGTGACACTCAGTAAGAGAATTACCACACAGCTTCTCCTGCCCTCATCTACATCCTCTGTTTTATTATCATAGAATAGCAGAATAGTGTTTGATTGTTGGAGTGGGATAGGAAAGGGATTTATACTTCAACAAATTCTGAATCCACTTATAGGTTAGACACCCTGCAACTCAATATGCAAAAACTGTGAGTCATTCTGCCTTCAAGAAATGAGAGAATTTTTGTCACAGCACCAGCTCCCAGTATGCTGAACTGTTGCAGTCTTCAAAACAATTTTTTTTGAAACAGGGAAATCTCTAGAAAGCTAACATACATTTCACCACCTTAGAAAGAATTGCTGGTACTGCTAGACTAGACAGAAGATCTGACCAATATCTGATGAAGTAATGTCTAAGGAGAATGTTCAAGTTAATTGGCTTGGTGGATTTGCAGTAGAGTAGTTTTATTTCCAAATGCCACCTTTGGAGAAGTTGCTTCAAATTAAAATATTGTTTCCACACTCCCCCATAGCCAATAATTTCTAGAAAGGTCCAAGAATTCGTTGTATATTCACATGGGAAATATTTGAAGATTTTAAATATCTGTGACTACCGGACTGAAGAAGTAACATCAAACCTGTGTTGTGATGTAGACTGAAGATTATATTTGATCAAGATCAGTAGATTAACAATAGTGTTGCAAGAAATTTCAAATTCCAAAATAACCTTCTTGAAGAATAACCCTCTACCAAGAGACACTCTTCTTTCAATAGAATATTCTCCTCATACCATGTCTGTTCTATATTTGGTGAAATATGGTCTGAAGCCTCTAACTCTATCACCTGTGCACAATGTATTTCTGTAGCAATTGCAAGCTATCACTACTAATCTTACACACATTTTGTGGTAAATCTCCTCAGGTAGCCAAGCTAGATAAAAACTATTGCACCTTAAAAACTATTGCACCTTTGCCTTTTTCAGACATAGCCTCTACAGCCCAAAAAATAATTAATTAAAAAAAAAAAATTGGCAGACTAATCCAGGTGAGGTTAGCCTTCAGTGGAAACACCAAGCTTCAATTAGCTGAAACTGCTGACAGCCCTAGAGACTCATGCTGGAGTACTATGAAACCATACTTTCATGAGCAACTTGAGTTCACTCATACTTAAGCCTTTTGGGCACCTATGACTACTAATTAATAGATTCTATTTGTAGTTATTTGCCTGAACTTCATTCTAACTGGTTATGTAGTTAAAGTGATCTGTGACTTCAACAGCCTATTAAAAATTGTTTTGTACATTACAATCTTGATAGCATACCAGAATTTTTTCTGTGTTGAGAGAAAGCACAGATTCATAAGATGAAGACCCTCCTATGTCACAATCCGATTCATGGAAGTGCAAAAATGATGAATCTGTGAAAAGAGAGAGAAAATACCTTTAGGAGCTCAAAGAGTTAGATATATGTTCTACTATCATATCTCACATTTCCTCATGTTCACCTGAGCCGCTTCTGCATTGGGCACTCCACAGGGTAGAACTTTCATGAAGTGCTTTCCACACACAGCATTGCATCCACACAGCCAGTGAAGCAATAGTTGACGTGATTGCTTTTATATAATTAGTTTGATCACTATTCTGCTTATGCTTTTGGCTAAAAATACATGACCAAAAAAAATACAAATGAAGGTGGTAAAAGAAAAAAAAAGGCAGGGAGGAGTAAAAAGGGAGGCAGCTGAAAGCAAATAAGAAAAGTTTGGGGTTGACGTGTCCCCATTTGGCATTATGATTCTGTTCTCTGGCCCAAGAAATTAAAGACAAAATTATCATTCCAGTCCCAGAGAGGAAAGTAAATGGAATGGATCTTACAGAGCTGCTGCTGGAAGTCCAAGCAACAGAGGTACAAAGACTGTAAAAAGCAGACAGAATAGTAAACCGTAATTGACTGAACACATACAAAGGTCCTCACAGGTATATTACAAAGAAGGCCATTACAAAAAGTGTATGATTAATTCAAATCTATGAAAAGTCAAACACAGCTTGTTCACATAGCAGAGAAAAAGTTTAACAAAGGCAACAAACAAGTAACAACAATAATCAACAACCCCCCCAGATTGTTAGACTATAGAAGTCACTACTTCACCTACATGGCGCTTTAACTGCTATCCCAACAGCATTGTTAGCTTTTAAATCTTCAGATCTTAAAGCTTCTATTAACTTGAAATATTTCAAGAGTAAACAAGAAAAAGCAAATAAACGGTATTATCTCCTTGATTTCCATGTCACAAATACCAAATTTTATCATCTTCCCTAATGTTTGTAAATACAAGCTTGATGCTAAGCTTGAAAGACTGGGGGGCAGTAGATGTTTCTAATTCACTTTCACAGGCAGTGCTATTCTTATATTTTGATTACATAAGGGTTGCAGTTAGTTAACTCCCCATTTCTCACAAGCACACTGCTAAAAGAGAAAAAGAAACAGTCATCTTATAAAGAGAAGTCAAAATAGCATCTCAAATCACTCCCTGTAAATAGAAACTTGAAACTAAGTTGAGCCATAAACAATAACTGGTGGGAGAAGTTTTACAACAGAAGCAAGCATGGTGAAAAGCAGAAGGTCGAAGTTTAAAGTCAGAAAGTCCTGTAAGAACAATGGCTCACCACCCATAATTTCCAGAAAAAGCATTGCCAGTAAGAGGTTTCAACACTGCCCTTTGGTCTTCAAATTGTCCAAACTCTCCTGTAACATGGCAGCATTATTAACACATTACTTGTTCTGTGTTGGTCCTTGTAAGTCAGTGACAGTTAAGAGCCATCACTGTGGACTTACTGAGCAATTTTTGCTTCACAAACCAAAACAAAGAGGTGCAGGCACAGCCTCCCTCCAGGATAATTTTCTGCATAACAGCAAGAATTTAGCAAAGGAATTTTTTTAAGAAGGTGGCAGAAAATAAGATTGGCCTATCTGTTACCAGCTATAGGGGGAAAAGGACCTGTCAAATCTTGCAATTCTTGGGCAACAAACTGTTTTACTCATAGGGGAGAATAGATCTGCCTTTGCCTGCAAGTTAATTACAGTCAAACCTGTACCACACTGCCTCATTAACAACTTTATGAAAAAGTAGAAACACCAACCACAGAAATTACCCTGGACCTTGTAGGAGGTTATAAGAGAAACTATTTGAGCTAAAAAGATTCTCCTCTTCTGAGGAAGCTGTACTAAAACAAAGACTGAGAGCTTAAGGGATTTTTGCAAGCAGCAATTTATTTAGCCAGAGGATTTAAGTAGCAAGGAATGAACTGGTATAGAGCTATTTCAGGGTAAATATGCTGTTCTGTAAATAAGGGCTATCTTATCAGTGTATGCAAAGTACCCGAGGTACCTGATGATTTAAGCAGAATTCCTTGTATCAATCCCAATTACACTGGCCTCTTTAAAACAACTTCCACCATTAAAACAAAATCTCATGTTCCAAACACACCTCTGGAGGAATATCCTGAGTCAATCATTCACATCCTAGTAACAGAAGAGATGTAATCAAATGCTTTGCCATTTATTAACTTGTACGGTACACAGATTGTATCCCAACACTGGGTGAAAGTCTTTTTGGTTTTATGCTTAAGCTTGAATGATTTGAAGCAATGGTCACCCGAGACAACTTTGACAATCTGATTTACGGTGTACGTACCATGGCTTTCAGCCACTGTAGCCACCCTCCCCACTCCCACCAGCCCCAAAAAACCCCAGTTGATGTAAACTTAACATCAGATGATATAGATTAAAACTAACCAAAGAAGTTTAAGCTGTGATGACAAAGGCACACATACAGAGGGGAAAAAAAAGCAGATGTAGGAAACCCATAACAAGGTATTTCTAAGGAGTTTGTTATTTTGAGTGGATTATGCTAGCTGCATATTGTTTTTAGGAACCGCAGCAATTGTTGATATGAGCACGGGCTTTATGAAATAAAAGGGTGGGGCGGGGGGGGAAACACACAACTACCCTGCAGACAGCTAAGCAGTCATTACGCATCGCTGGCTAGTCTCATGTAAATAGTTGAGTGTCTATATTGCATTGAATTGATAAAATCTTTTTCTTCATCTGCATTACATGTACATTGTGATTCAGACTGGCAGTTTTGTATAGCACATTCACACTATGCTCATGATCAAAGATCATAACCGATTACTTCAACCACATGATCCTGATGCAATGGATACAAAGCACGTACAAATAGTTATAACTGTGCCTGCATTACAAGTCGATTAAGTTGAAAGATCTGCTACCTGAACTTGACACTCCTAAAAAAAGCATCCAGTTCACCAGCAAAATATATGTAACGGTAGATGAAAATTAATCAAGCCATATTCAACGCCGTAATATGAGCACAAGGAGTGCATGTTTGCGTACTACTGAGTGCAGGGATTAAAAAGCACGCAGAGTCTAGCGGCTAGACTTCGCAGGTTGGTGAGGGGGACAACAGGAATCCTCCCGGGCGGTACCACAGGCCCTACGATTTACCCGTTTCAGGGATGAGAGCTTTTTCGCCGCACAGGGCCACAGCGGGAGTCTGCTCCGCACTGCACAACGGCACAGTGCTACTCGGGGGTGCCGCTTACACAGAGATGCCTCGGTATGAGTCAGCTGAACAGCAGCAACGCGTACAGCCGAGCCACCCGTCGCCGGCACCCAGCACCGCCCCGGGCCAGCGTCCCTCCGGCCACCTGCAGTGCCTCAGCCTGAGGCGAGGCCCGGCCGCGCTTTCCTCTGCTGCTCCCGCCGGCTCCGCAGGAGCGAGGGGAGGGGAAGAGAAAGGAGGGGAAGAGAAAG